TTATTATTTTACATTTTAGTTTGATTTCAAATAAATTATTATTTTTTCATCATTTAATGCTATGTTATGATTTCGGTTTCGGTCGGGAGTTTGGGTTCATATATGTATGCATATGTTACTTATATATTATTAGTAAATGAAATGAAACATAAATATTTTTGTATAAATAGTTCATTCGTTTATGCACTGATAAATTTTCATACTTGTCAAAAGTTCTTCAAATCTTATAAGGGCTTAGCTTGACTGCGGGTGGGAAAAATTTAAAATATTAATCATTATGTATTAGATAGATGATTTCGTTGAAAGCCAATACCAATATACATATGCAACTTGATCAGGATTTGTTAAGTTTGTCACCAAAATTGTAACAATCAAAAGGAAAAGAACTCAGCATGACGAGCTGGATCAATTTATCAATGTCCATCTGTATAGCCGTCCGGCTGTCTGTATTTTTGCGTACTATGCGTCTCTCAGTTTTTGAGGTATCGATCTAAAAATTTGCACACGTCCACTTCTCGCCAAGAAACTGCTCATTTTTGGTTTTATTTATATTGATATTGGACCATCATAACATTTATAGCTGTCATACAACTATACAATCATAACAACAACAACATAACTTTCCTTGCACAATTTTTTTTTTTTATTTTACGGTATATATCTTCATGAAATTTGGCATGGATTATTGTCCAGTGCAGCGAAGAAATGGTTCAGATCGGGCCACTGAGTGACAGTGTCACTGACAAAAAATTGTTATATGAAACTTTATTTATTAGTTAAGGATATTCTAGTTTTGACACAATTGAAATTAACGTATTTCCTTATTTTAAATTACTTGAGTCGCCATAAACTAAAAAAATGCAAATTTTATTTATATTACCATTTTGGTGCAATTTTTTTATATATCGATTGTCGATGACAAATAACGTGCATTTCCCAACCTAAAAAACTCTCATGAAAACTTTAAACCTACGCGAGTATGAAAGCTTCACCTAGATTTGTTATTTATAGTCGAATTGTCGTATAAAATTGATAACGCCGAGTCCTTACGAAACAAGCATTTGAGCGTATAATTAATTTATTCACTGCTGATTGATGGGATAGGGATAGGTATACCTGCTTTCAATTGAATAGTGTTTCGGAGTAATTATCGATATTATGGTTAATTTGACGCATGCAATTATTTATGTTAAATTTGCGCTTGTCTTTTATGTTTTTGAAGGAAATATACACGATATTTCATATTTATGTACAGATTAAGCTTGGTATAAAGCTAGTTGGTGCCAAGTTGTAACAACACAAACTCATGCTTCACTTCCGAATGCTAAACTAAAATGTGTAATATTACTAAAATCTAAAATCATCATGTTTTTTAATTTCACGCCGCTGACAATGCTGCTGCATTTTGCTATGAAACATCATTGCGCGCACGGCTTAAAAACATCACCGAAACAAATGCATACACACAAAAATAACAAATAACAACATTAAAATTAAAAAAAAAAATTAAAATTAAATTAAAAATTATTAAATTTAAAATCACTTTGAAAACCAAAACAATTTATATCCAATTGGAAAAATAAATAAATTCTGAACAAAAACAAAAAACACGCCATTAGGACAAAGATGACTATCTTTTTGAAGCCCAATTACACAACAACACTGGAATGTCAAATGCGATCTCATCAAACAGCAATATACATTTGAACACAACACCAACAAAGAGCGGCAACAAAAAGTCATCAATAGCGGCGCTCTCATCATCCAGCCCACAATTGTTTATCCACAGGCCGAATTATGTGGCGACACATGAGATCGACGAGCCGGCACCACCGCCCATTCCTCCTTTGCCACTCAATTACCAGAGATCTGATGGTTTGTTTTACACACTTACTTTCTTTCTTTCTTATTTTCGTTTTAACGTTAATCCAACGTTATTGTTTTCGCTATTGTAAATCGTTCATTCGAATGTACTTCCTTTCTCAACTTTCACTGTGTAATTGACAGTATCATAAGTACTAATTTTGATAATATTTCTCATGGATTTAAAGATGAGAGCAACGCAACCGAAACACGTGAACAGAAGCGGCAGCGTGCCATATCGAAGGCTGTTCGACAAGCTGAGCTCAAGCGACTCAGAATCGCTCAGGAGATTCAGCGTGAGCAGGAGGAAATCGAGGTGCAATTAAAGGAGTTGGAGGCGCGTGGCGTTCTAATTGAGAAAGCATTGCGCGGTGAGAGCGAGCAACATAACAGCAAGTAAGTTGCCATCACGAAATCAATTTATGGAATAATACATTTATATATTTATTTGTTGCAGTTTTGACACAACTAATATTGGCAGCAATGATGAAAACCTACTGAAGGAGCTTTTGGAGATCTGGCGCAGTATAAAACAACTTAAGTAATTCAAAACACCAGACAATTTATTATAAAATTATACTTTTGAAATGTTCTTTGTAAATTTAAAATATTAATGCCTCGGTTGTTGTCTTTTGCTCACAGAAAACGCGATGAGGAGCTGAGTATACGTCAACAAGAGTTGCAATTAGAGCATAGGCATGCCCAGTTAAAGGAAGAGCTCAACCTGAGATTGTCTTTCAATAGTAAGTATAATATTTTATTTACCATCTTAAAGTTCCAGTTTTTGCTCAGCACACTTGCGAAAATAATTAAGTTTTAAAAAAAAAAATTTTATAAAGAAAAGAAAATTTTAAATTGAATTCGAAATCACTTATCGGATTTTCGTTGAGAAATAGAATCTCAAATGAAAAGAAAAATTCTAAAAAAAAAAATACTAAACAGTGCATTTATCATTTGTCTTATTTGCTTCTTTTATGCAGAATTGGATAAAAGCTCCGCCGATGTGGCAGCCGAAGGTGCAATACTGAATGAGATGTTAGAAATTGTGGCCAAACGCGCAGCTTTGAGACCAACCAGCTCCGGTGCCGAACTTTCCACAGCACTGAACCTTATGTCGTCTGCGAGCGCAGTCTCCGCCGATGGCATCAATTTAGTGGGTGGTGTTACTGGTGCACATGGAACAGTTCATGCACCAATTTACAACAACGATGAATCAAATGTAAGTGCAGCAAATAGTTGCACATTAAACTTTTTACCCACAAATCTTTTTGCATTCATCTTTTTTTTGCTTTTGGCTTTTATATATATTATATGGCACTTTTTAATTAATTTTTCGTAATAATAATTACATTATTTTTTTATAATTTAACCGAAATTTGTACTTTTTTCGAATATGTTATATTTTAAATAATGCAAACAAAATACCTCAAGTAAAGGACAGAAAAAGGAATGAGAAACCCATTGGTTTGGATTTATATATGCATATATTATCTTTAAAATGTTGAGTAATTTCTAGAAACAACTTATATGACAATTGTACTACCGTTTACTTTAAATGCCAAATGACATATAATTTTTATGAAGACATCTTTCTATTGAAACTAATATCTAGAAGACTTAATAATGATTACAGAATATAATTTTGTATTGAGGTTATCCAAAATATATGATTTAAGCTAATAATTTTTAGAGTTGAGAAATAAAACAAAAACATTTAAGTAAAGATAGAGACCGCTACAAAAATTGCTTGGAAACTTTTAATTGTATCTATCGATATCTTAAAACAGTTTGTAACTTTCTCTTCTTGCAAACTAACTATAGCCGAGATTCAGTGCAGTCTCTGACAAAGTCTCAACTCTTTGAAACATAGAACTTTTTATTCAATTTAATTTTTCTTATTTTTGCTTTTTTTATTTACTACCATTTCAATTTGTGTAATCATAGTTTGCTAAAATTTATTATTAATAATAATTGTTCCTTTTTATAACGGCATAAAACAAAAGCTAATCAAATTTTTCTTTTCTATCTTTTTAGATTTGAGGTAAACGCTTTCCATGGACTCTAATCGCCTCTGAACTTTTTCATGCAATTTTAAATCTTCATAATTAACACGTTTTAACCATTAACAAAAACAAAAAAAAACTACCTATTATTAAGCACTTGAAGACATAGTCAATCTATTTAGTGCTTAATTAACATTTCAACTGGAATATCTTCTTGTTTGGACTTTGAAATATTCGAGATGAGCAAACGTTGCAATCGCATCAAATAGTAATTAATTATTTACCACATAAAACGCTTACTAAAAACCTATAGTAGTAACTAGATATAGTCAATGACAATTATATACATAAATGTATTAAAAGTAATGGAACCCAAAAGTGACAAACATACACTAAATATATGGATATACATATGTATATACTAAAACCAATAATAAAAACTGTTACTTTTAGTCGTCGATACTGGCCTTCACAACATACAAATTCAATTACTAAGAAAAAAAACACTTAAGATACAAGAAAATGGTTAGCAATGCGCCAACAAATATACTCGCCGAGAGTTAGGGGGTCACAACGTTTAATTTTAAATTAATTTTATTGAAATCCCAACAGAAGTATGACCACAAAAATTTGATATATATACATATAATATATACATATGTGTGCGTCCGGTATACTTTGTTTGTATAGTTTTATAAAACGAAAAGCAAAATATGTCCAATGTATGTATTTTACAACAATGTGACGTCCTTGTAACCAAAAATCGAATTATTCGGCTAAGCCTCTCCTGCTCACCTCATACACCAAATATTTGCGTGTATTAATTATCATTTATAGGCTCATCTCTATTTTATATGTAGTATGTGTGCAGTATTTATTTTCGTTAGCGTTAAACCTACTGATTGTATTTACGTGTTAATTTCCGCAAGGCATCATGACAGAAGTGCAGCTGTATATTTTATACGAGTATAAGTCTCTCAGTTGTGTTATTGTATTTTAGTTAATGTTGTAATGAAGTTTAACTGTATATTATTACATTTCGTTTTTAGTATTTCTTTTAATAAATATTCAATTATATTTATATGTGTATGTATTTGTACGTAATTATTTTGTTAAAACACACTTTTTACTTGAAATATTTTCACCAATGGTGTCAGTACATACGTATTTGTATGTGTATATTTAGCTGCCAATGTTTTAAAAAAGATTTCATATAATCTCACGCACGATATTGAAGAGGGAAGGCAGCACAAATCCAACGTAATCAGCACACGTGAATGTGAATATATTCGACTATATTTTATATGATATAAACTATAAGTAAAAAATATTATTGTAATTATTTTATTTACACGCAGCAACATACATACATATAAGCATTCATTTGTACTACACATGTATATCGAATTTACAAAGAGATGAAAACAGGAAACTAAAAAATATTTACCTACATTTATTTTATTAAAATAAAGATTATTGATGAATTAATTTTAATAAAGTGGAAATTCGTTTAAATGAAATATGGAGTTTTTATGTACGCAATTCATGGGATTGACACGGACTCTCAAGATTGTTCACAACACTGGCATGCGGTAACAAAAACAACTATTTTGACTCTCACTTGACATGTGTCAATGTTAGTTACGGAGAGATTTAAAGGTCACACCTATTGGGAAAATTAGAAATAATATTTTGTTCTTGTTTTTGCATATTTCTATAGATTATATTTTTCAAAATAACACACTAAAAATTTATATAAATACTAGTAGATACGGACATGAAGTAAGTGGGATTTTGTGAATCTCTTGACGTAACTCGTTTTGCTCTGTCAAGGGTATATGATAATAAATTATATTGTAATAAACTATTTAGTGCAGAGAAAATAGTTTTTACAAATAAATTCAGAGTCTATGGGTTCCACTTTAAACGTCTAATTTATGGGCGTCATAATCGTCCTGTCAGATCAACAATTTAGCGTCAAGTGGAATCCACAGGCACAGTACAAAATGTTCCCTTACCGCATCAACTGAGGAATAACTGTGACGACTTTGTGGGCGAATTTTGCGAAAGATCTTAACCTACATCCTTACAAGATCAAATTGACACAAGAACTGCTTGACCACCGGAATCGTTGTACGATCGTAAGTTGGGCTGAGCAACAACTTGAATCGAAAAATTATCTTCAGCGATGAGGTTCATTTCTGGCTAAATGGCTTCGTCAAAAATTACGAATTGGATGATATAGACTTGGACAATATGTGATTCCAACAGGACGGCACCACAAGCCAGACAGCGAATATCACAATCGATTTATTGAAAACCAAATTTGGTGGACTTGTTGCCTTACGAAATGGCGTAGTCAATTGGCCATCTCGGTCGTTCGATTTGAACTTCGTACGAACGTGAAATTGCAGCAGTATAGGCCGATTTATGCTTGAAAACCGTCGAAAAACTGTGCACAAATGATATATAACAAGACGAGCTTTGTCGATTTAGTTCCCTAGTTATCAACATTTTTGCAAGCGACCTTTTCTCAACTGTTAATTTGTCGGAACCGCCGATATTGGATCTCTATAGCATATAGCTATCATACAAACATAATCTTGTTATTCATATTTCGCGAAATTTATCATGAGTTATTTTCCAACCGAACGCTTACGTTTCTTATTATTTCTTTTCTTAAGTTATCTTAAGAAAAATTCCTAAAGATCATATATTTTTAGGTGATCACACTAGTAGTGTCCCTAAAATAATACTCACATATCTTTGGTTATCAAACCTTGAATTTGAACCTTGAGGTGTAGAATATGGTCTAGGGAACAAATAATCAAACACTCAAAATGTTATTAGTTGCAGCAATTGCCTTTATTACACTATTACACTACGAGATGAGACCATATATGTATATATAAGTATACCATAAATGTGTTTGTTTGTATATGTGTATATGTAAAAAGCATTAAAAATAGTTATAAATAGTTTCAGTTATGCAGTATACTACGCATTAGTTTATCTGTCTATATACTATAAATATGTATGTATGTAAGTATATGGCTTATGCAGATAAATTATATTTAAGCACTAAGAAGTCTTGGAAGTAGTTGACTGATACAACACGCTGATCTCCCGTGTCAATTTAAAAACCCCTGACAATGTAAAACTACGGTCCACATAACGACTGAAAATTGCACTTGTGTACTTTCCCATATTCTTCTTTTGAATCTAGCTATCCATGCTACGCCATCATTTGTTCTTCTTTCGTTGACCATTCTGATTTTGTGACTTGCTTCCGCCATTGACAAGCGATTTATTACACATATTTGGCACGCCATTTGGGATACTATTCAGTTCTGCAGTGCTTTTAGTTATCAACTCTGACTGAGGGTAGCCCCCATTATCTGCTTCATCGTCCGATTGGTTAAAGTAATCCTCAGGTTGTATTAGTTCGATAGCACAACGACGCGGGAACCACCCACGTATTGGCCCCTTGCGCTGTAAATCTGGCATGTTCAACTCTGCATCAGTCACTACTCGTTCGCCGAACAGCCAATGCTGGCGGAAACGTGTCACTTTGATTACGTCACCAGGCTCTAGCCGAATGCGTGATTCATCAGTACACGGTGGCGACAGGCAGACACGCAAACCTTGTGAGAAGAGCGGCAGGAATCGACCTGTTGCTGGACGTATACACCGATAGGTTTTGGTGCGTGCGCGTTTCTCTGCTTTTTGTGCGATTTGCTCGCGCTACAAATTATTTAAACATTTACTACACACATACGTACTAAAAGAAGACAATTTAATCGATAACATACCGTTAAGGTGTATTGGTCACAACCGTCCAGTACAGGCCACACAATGCCTTGACCAGCTGCTAAAAGTCGTTTGCTGAACACCTGTCGTAAGTTCTCTCGCCAGCCCAAATCGTACGGATACACAAAATCATCATCGTCTGGATTGCAGTAATGCCTATAAATTGCCTTCTCCACAATCCACATCTCGATACTCGTCTGATTTTTTAGAATCGATTTAAGCTAAAAATTATCAATTTTAGTAATTAAGCCAAAATGAAAGTATGTTTTTTTTTACCTGTATGTAGAGCAACATTCCCAAGGCGATAACAACACCGATGGCCAACCCTGTGGCTATAATATTCATTATAATGCTGGCCATTGTAAATTGCACTGTGGCCAAGTGCGTATAACCGTGCGTCAGATACCAATAGCGATGTACACCGCGATAGAAGGAGAAACCCAGTATTATGGATGCTTGAAAACTGCCCAAAATGGCGAAGGTAAGAAAGTATGTGAAGTATGCGTGATTTGCCCAGCCTACACAGTGATTTATCCACGGGCAATGATGATCCATTTTCTTAACGCATCGATTACCTAAACAAACAAAAGTTAAATTGAAGAGTTCAAATAAAATCGAATAAATGCAACCAAAGAAATTGATAAAACACTGACTTACATTTGCGACAGTGGTGTGAACGGGGCGCTTTGTAGCCTTGGCAAATCTTACAGAATTGTAATTGATCTACATCAACCGGATTCTAAAGAAGTATGACGGAAATAACAGTTAGGCATATACATATACAAATATCTTCGTGAATAAATATGTACATACATATGTTTAACTATATTTTTTGAGTGAAAATGTATTGCTTTATAGAGTTAAGTCCACACCGAAGCTGATATATCACCTAATCATAGACCTTAACAGTTATAATTATATAATGCTGATGAGCATATGCTTATAATTAGTAAATTTTATTTATTTTGTGTTTCGAAATATTTTTTACATACAATTTTTCACTCAAAATGGCATTTATAGAAAAACAAGTAAGGGAGGTTATACTCTTACAACTTGCAAGAATCACAGCCGGCGAAATTCCTTCAGATTGCAATCAATTTCATATCTTCTTGTTATGCACTTATACATAGTTTTATGGCCATATTTTAGTTCGCGACAACTAAAATTATATTAAAGACATCCTCAAATGAGATGCAGATACGTACGTATGTAAGATAGATTCAACCGAAGTGGATAAATTCAATATATGTGACCTGGTCTACGGAAAGGGAGCTAACGTGCGCAACTAGTTTTCTGGGAAACAGCTGTTAAAAATCTCATCTTCCATCCGATTCAACTAAAAAGTGAAAATTAATTTTTTGGTTTTTTTGACACCTAAGCCCCCTTTCCGTAGACCAGGTCACATATATTAAATTGATGTGGAAAACGTCAACCAGAGGATCGGAATTCTTTATATTAGGGATAGGAGGTTTAGACCAAGGTATAGAGTAATTCCATTCTAATTCAGCACGAAGCCATATAATTTTTAAGAAAACTTGTCCATTGATCTGGACGGTTTAAACATAGGTGAAAAGTCGGAAATCATTATATGAGTGTTTTGCTGCAGAAAAAAGCACGGATTGATTGCATTAATTTTAACATTGCTTAGTTACACTCGAGAGCCTATTTTATACATAGTATACTCTTGTCTTTCTGAAGTATGTACATACAGTGCATTCGGCGATTTTTCGATGAGTGAAATTATTCAACAAAATTCAATTTTGTGTGCGGAATCACTTTTGTGGTGCCAAAACGTTGAGAATATTGGAAAAGACATGCAGTGATAATTGGTTGTCGCGACCAAGTGTTTTTGATGGGTTTGGTATTATTATTGGCGATGACTGGCGATACGATCAATCGGCCGAATGTCGTGGCAAACGAGAGGCTTTTCCGGAAATTGACTTTAACAACTGCTTCAAGGATTGGAAAAAACCTTAGGGCAAGTGTATTGAGGAAAGGGAGAGTACTTTGATGGTGGTGACATAGATTTTGAAAAATTTTTGAAGAATTTTAAAATTATGAACTAATATATAAATAATACACACGGACCGACATATTCGGCACAAAACTTATTAGAATAACGAAAATAATCACAAGTAGTATAAGGCAGTTGGGGTAGTATTGGCTCGATTTTATCCAATAATAGCACGTACAGCAATTAATATGCTACATACTTATAAAATACTCTCCAAATTTCATTAAAGTACCTTATTACAATCACCTATCATATAGAATAAAGTCAACTGGATGCTCGAAAATCCTGAAATTAGTTATTTGGGGGCTAGATCAATCCCAATTTTATACATTCTAGGCACAAAGATACACTCTTATCAGTAAAACACGCCCTCTTTTTATTTTCATTGCGACAACTCACATATTGGTCGATATATGCCGTATAAAGTCACCCGGAAGTCCGAAAAATTAGTGTTCGGTATAAGAGTGCTAAGTGAAGCATTGACCCGATTCAATATATTTTTGACACATAGCCATACTATTATCAGGAAAGGATTCTCACTGAATTTCAATTATATATCTCGTTTTTTGATAAAAAAATATCAACTATAGGCGTGGTTGAAGTCCGTTTTCCATCTCACTCTGTGTTATATGCATAAATGTAAAAAAATGTCACATACTCGGGGAGTAAAATTTAATTTCTGTTACGTATTTAATTATGGGGATGAATGGGGGTTATGATCCGATTTCGTTCATTTTCACACTGTCGGTAGGGATTCCTATAAAATTTGTACTGATGGTTTGATAGATATATAAATTAAACCTATTAGGGAGCGGGTTCTCGCACACTTTTTCAAAATTTCCCTGCCATAAAAAATGCATCTGTGAGGGGTACTATACCTTCAGGATATACAGGGGAAATTAATGTTTTAGATATTTTTTATTTTATTGAAAATTTCAATTTGACAACTATGTCACAATCGGCCAAACATTATTTATAAAACATCGGTCGCCTTCGTTTAGTATGGCGCATATGAGCAATGATCCATAATTCGATGAAATCTTGAATACGACTAAATTATTTCCTAACGTGCGACAAAGAAAATGTATGTAATATTTCAACGTCCTTTTGCATATACTATACGTCTTGATTCTTGATTTACCGCAATGGGCGGACTTTCTCTGTATTAGCAAGTGCGCCAAAACGCCTCTATGTCGTAGTCCGAATAGCTTAATTGGTCATTGCGTGACAGGTGTGGACTAAAGTGCAAGTGGAATTCTTTGTAAATGCAACAAAGTCGCGTTTTAAGAGGTTCAAGTGCCAGCCATTACTGTTATGTTAGCTTAACCAACTTGGTTCTTATTCCTTTTAATAGTAATAATACTACAAGGATATTAAAGTTAATAAATTGGTAGTAAAAAATTCATTGCACACTCTTAACACATATACATATGTGTTATGTAAATATGTGCAACCTTAGCAGTAGTCTCGTAATAACAAATGCAGTCATTTGTTAAAAAATAGGAAGTGTTTAAAACATTTGCGGTCGCGTGTAAGAAACAAATAATTGCCACCAAATTGAGGCGGAACTTGAAATGCGCACCATTTCGTGCCGCCGGTACAAAACCACTCCGCTCCGCTTTGCTTGGGCTCGCTTCTAGATGTTTATCGAATGTCACTTTTGGATGGGGTGTTCCGGCGCTACAACAGTAATCGTGCGGTGGTGTGCTTTGTTTACGCTAAACTGCTACGCTTATTAAGTATACGATCAAAAGTGCCAACATGAAAGATTATAAATGCGAACGTACAAATTTACGAAAACTATGTATGTATCTACACAATTTGTAATCAAGAAAAAATGGGCTGTTTGAAAAATTGGTTACAAACGTTAAAATTTAATACTTCTATAACTTGTCTGTTAGATAATTTCGGTGCTAACTAACTTGCACCTTTTCACCTAAACAGGGTCTAGAACGACAGCAGTAAGCTGCGATTTGGTTACCCAGAAAAATTAATTAATATAATCAATCTAACCACTGAATTTTGTTTAACGCTTCGATAGCAATATTTCTCACCTTAAAAACGCTAAAGTTGTTGACTATTCAAAGGAATAAGGTAATGGTAGGAGTTGGCATCTACAAAAATTGTTGCCTACAGTTAGCTGTATTGTCCTCATGGATATGAATACATTTGCATATTTCTAATGTGAATTTTATAGTTGCACTTACTTTTGGTTTCCATTTTTTAGGCAGTAGACCAGGTCCTGTTAAAGTCGCCATAACATAGTTAAACGTAGCTAATGACGATAGCATCAGAAAGAGTCCCTGGTTAATGAAGCCACCCAAACTAGCATTCGGCGGCCACCACATTGAGTTCATGTAGAGAGCGGTTAAAGTTATTACTTTTATAATGCCTGAAATATTAAAAATTAATTATTAAATTATTTAACGGTAATAAACAGTTTTTAATATACGCTGATATAGTACATACACATATAAATATACGTTCTCTGGTACATACTATACTTAGATGCGTATATGTATATATGTACATATGTATACATTGTATGAGACTAGCAGCACGCATGGAGAATTAACGCGATAAAAAACACATATACATACATATATATATATGCAGTAAACTCCTTTAGAAATACATGAGAAAAATAAGGAAGTAGGACAAAACAATTAGCGGGCACACTTTCATGTAACAGCAATTCAAGGCGCAAGGAAATTATGTGGCAAATACGCAAAAACTAAGTGTTTTTTATAATATATAGTAGTGCGTTCATTCATTAAGTAAGCCTCCTTTACTCTCTCTGGAAAGCTCTACGAGTTGGCTACACTTTGCGCACAACTAAAGCGCAACAAATGTTGGTATTTAAGCAATACTACACACACGGAGGAGGAGATTTTGTTTTGGCAACCTAATTTTAAGGAACTAATTAAGAGGGTTAATTGCAAGTTGATGGAAAAGAACTTATTATAAGAAGGAAGGCACAAAACAAATATGAAAATATAAATATGTACACATTCAATACCGCAAAAGAAATTAGTGATTTGAAATTAATAATTTCCGCAAACATCGATAGACACCGAAGTTGATTATTGTTTACACCATGGTCCTTACTTAGTTATTTCTCATCTTAACTGCTATTAACGTATAATTAATTAATATCATCGTGATTCTCAACGATATTAATATAACATAAACTATTTTGATATCTACACATATAAATAAAACCACACGTAAATGAATAAAATGAGTTGACTGCATACTTTGAAAATTTTGTATGCAGAAAATGACTTTAATGCCAAAACTTTATGCCATCTCTCTAGTGATATTCATTGGCAGGTCATTTCTTTTACATCGTTATATCCCTTTATGGGAGAATGTAAACTAGACACTTACTCAATGCCGTTATCGGACCCCAATGTAAAAATCTCCACATTCCTGAAAAAATAGTCCTCATTTTGTACACTATTGGAAATATTTTTTAACAATTTTTTGTATATATTTTTCGTATATATTTTTCGCCAATTTAAGTTAGGCGTTATTAATATTATATTATTTATTTTATTAAAACCAATTCACAGAAAAGCAAAAGCGCTACTGATATATTAAAGCCGAAATAAGTAAATCATAGAATGTCAAAATAGCCCAATACCACGAAAACATCTGTTCATAAAACAGGGTAACCAGAATTCTCCTACATGACTTGTTTAACAAGGAATATATATGGGTCTAGTTTATCACAAACAAAATATTTTAAAGTTTACTAACAATTCGTCCAAAACTTTTGTTCATTATTTCATTCATTATTTCTATCGTAATGTTTTTAAATTGTTTGCTAAATTTACAGTAAAAAACTATTGCATACTCTTAGGCAGCAAAACAGAGAATTTTACACATCGCTTATATATTTATAACGATAATTGAGTATTTATTATTATTTTATTTTGTTGTCCTCAAATCAATTTAATTTTAAATTGAAATGTGTAGTCGCAAATAGAATACTTAAGATTTTAATATCATCTGCGATTAAAGTTACATAACATAATATGGTTGCAATTTCTAAAACCAAAAAAATGTAATAGATTAATCATTAGCAAAGAAGTTTTAGCCGCGTTGAAAGTATGGCCACGCCAATTGTCCATTGCATTCAATGTGAAGTTGTGGAATTCGTTTTCAAAGCATAAAATTAGGTAAATTTCGTATTAAATCTAAAACATATCAAATTAATTAAATACTGTATGTTAATATAATATATACTAAGGTGTGAAAATAAAGGAATAATATGAAAGGTGTGCAAACAGTAGTGAATAACTAAATACCAAAACAACGCACTGAAGGACGTACATATGTGTGCTATGGAATTTGTATTCTTATCAAAATATAATTTCTTACACCAATTTTCTTTCTGAAATTAAATTGTAACTAAGAAAAAACACAAAAGTTCTTAAAGTACCATCGCTCATGAAAAGTATGCTATTAAAATGAACATGAATTAAAAGTAAATTTAATTTGTTATTTTGTTCGAAAGGTAGCACAATGGTGTTCACTTTCTCGCACCCTATGAAAGAGAGTGTATGAATGTGTGTATGTGATAGCGTAGAGACTTGTTGCATTCGTTCTGCCGCCGATGTTGAATAAATGTGTGTGTTCGGTTCACTGAATACGCGAAGTTCAGTTATGTATGCGCTTATGCGCCTCAAGATCGGTTTGCTTCTAGTATAAATTTTCAGAATGTGTATCGTATGTAGTTTACTGCTTCTAGGCGTTGCTGACGTATTCATTTTTCATAGTTAGCCTAATTTTTAATGTACACAGTGCCTAAAAATTGATTAAGAAATAGAACACTTATTTTACGAAAGACTTTATTCCAATGATTTAATAAATCCATTTCTTCAGGAAAATCATTAAAGTATGTCAGTATTGAATATAATGTCTATATTAATGCACCGTTTAGAAAAATTTAATATATGAAGTACAGTATTTAATTGTAGTCCTATCTCTACTTTTCAAAATAATAATTTTTGTTGATTTTACTTATTACTTATGTTCTTATGAATATTTATAAGCATTTTAATTTCAGTAAATATGGGGGATTCCAATAAAAAATCAAGCCCTAAGGTCAAAGAACCTGTGAACCAAACAAGTCCAAACAACGCTGTAAAAATTTTGAATGAGCGCGCCTCTAAACGTTCGAAACCCGCCAATCCGGACTCTAGTCCACCGTTAAAGCATGTAAAACTTTCTATTGGAAAAAGCAAAACTACTGTTGAAAATAATGATGACATGGATCACTATGTATTGAAAACCATAAAAGACGAGGCCAGTTTGGAGGGTGGGGAGACAATAGCTATTGTATTGAATGAGGAGCCAAAAGGTGTTACGAGCGCTGCTGGAGAAGTAGCTGAGGAGCTCCAAATTAGCGAAGAGGAAGCCGATGACACTGATGGGAAAACTGATGTGATGGAACATGTTTGCGGCAAGTGCTACAAAACTTTTAGACGATTCAACGTAAGTAGATAATATTACACTAATGTTTATTGTGATAAAATCAAACAATCTGATTTATTGACTTTTCTTCTAAATTAGGGTCTCAAAAATCATATGGAATTTTGCCGTTACGACAGTGGTTATCATTTGCGGAAAAATGAAATGTTAAAAAATCTCGATAAAATCGAGAAAGATGCTGTTACTATGGAGAAGAAAGATGTGTGCTTTTGTTGTGGCGAAAGCTATGACACATTCCATGTACGATTTAATTGTTCTCTTATATAATAATTGTTATATGTATGTATATTTTTTATGTTAATTCTTGCTTTATATGTCATTAGTTGGGACACATTAATTGCCCTGATTGTCCCAAGTCTTTCAAATCGCAAATGAGCTATGAACGCCACATATTCATTACACACTCCGAATTCGACACCTACCCATGTTCAATTTGTAATGCAAAACTGCGCAGCGATAATTTATTAAAACTCCATGAAGAGCAGCATAAAAATCGAGGAAAACCCTTTGCATGTAAAATATGTGGAAAAGACTTTACTCGTGCGTACCATCTTAAACGCCATCAGAAGTATTCATCTTGTTCAGCCGCAGGAAATGACTCCATGAAGTGTAAAGTCTGTGATAAGGCTTTCTTTCGGTTGGACAATCTTCGTGCCCACCTAAGGCAGCATTTGGGTACACACGTTACCAAAAAGCCTGAATATAGATGCCCACAGTGTAAAAATTGTTTTTACAGTTTATCTACTTTAAAGTAAGTGAAATCCTTAAAATATATTTTAAATTCAAATAGTACCAATTGTTATTTAATTTGTAGCATTCATACTCGAACGCATACCGGAGAGCGGCCTTTCGATTGTGATTTATGTGAGAAGAAATTTCCAACTTTAATTGCTCTGAAAAAACATCGCCGCTACCATACTGGTGAAAAACCATACACATGCTCTGTGGTAGGCAGATTATCTAAAACTATAATAGAAGTTAGAGTCAAAAGTCCGTTTCTTGCAGTGTAATCAATCGTTTGCTGTTAAGGAGGTGTTAAATCGCCACATGAAGCGGCACACGGGTGAAAGACCACATACCTGTCCGGACTGTAATAAAAGCTTTATCCAGGCATCACAATTGCGTAGTCATGCACGAACCCATATTTTACCGTTCGAATGCGCAGAGTGCGATCAAAAATTCAAAACACAAAAACAGTAAGCTCGCTTTTTTTTTTTAAATATACACACAAAAACCTTGCTTAATATAAAAAATCTCAATAGCCTCGACAAGCACAAAAAGACTCACATCAAGAAATGTTACGAGTGCAATAGTACTTTTGTCGATCAGTCTCAACTGGAGGATCATATGGCAAACTTCGTGCATAAAAGTGAGTACTTTTTAAACTTCTCTGTCTCAGTTAAAACTCTATATGCTATTTCTTCCTTAGAATCAACAAAAACAGCTAAAAAAGCAGTTACACGTAAATCTACGAGACGCACTCGTACGTATTGCAATGTCTGCGATCAAGACTTCAGTACCGTGAAAAATTTGCAATTTCACATACTCAAAGTGCATGAGATGGATCCCGAAGATTTCGTTAATGAAAAACCCAAAGAAAACGAAACAATTAAAACCAGTGAAAACGTTTACAAAATCGAAGGAGCAGCATCAAATGAAATACAGATTCTTAGCGAAACAGAGGGTAACGCCGTCATTATGGCCGCTGGCAGTATGAACAGCAAGCAGATTTACAACAACAACAAAGGCAGTAAAGGTGGTTTGGTGGTGAAAGAGTTCATCGTCAATGATGTACCTGCTGCTGAAGAAGCAGCAATGGTCCTCCACGACGAAGCTTACACCGTCATACCACTAGACGGAGATGGTCCCATAGAAACAGTGACTGCTGTCACTATGAGTCCTATTAACATATCGGCAGAAGTTAAAAAGGAACGACGCAAATCTTTAGCTGAATCACTGGCCGTGGCAATTGGTACAGACAATGCTACATTGAGAGAGCCAATACAACTGAATGAAGAAGATATGAAACTGAAGGAGAATGTCGGAAAATTACTGGATATGTTGGTCGATAATAAAACTTTGAAGAAATTTGGTTGGCCAACCAACAGCGAAGAAAATGTAAGCTGCACCATATCTTTATGTTTATATATTTGTAAAAATTAATATTACATAATATAATATATTACTTTCTAGGTTTTATGCCGTGTCATTGAAAATTGCGGTTATAACTTAACAAAAGATGCAGAAACATATCGAGATTGTGATTACGCGACGAGAATGCGTGAATATGTGAAACTGTTATTTACCGTAGTGATTCATAATAACTCCATAAAGGAGTTATTAAATAATTATCCCATCGATGAAGTAGTTGAGTACGTGCTGGGTAACGATGACGACGAGGACGATGATGGTGATAACGATAAAGATGATGACAATAGTAATATGAAAAATTAGCAGAAAATTTATAGGTACCGAGATCGTTGCCTTTGTTTATATTGAATATAGAATTACACAAACAAAACTTATGGTAGTGAAGTTGCCTTCTGACGTCTAACATTTTTAATATACATATATACTATATAATGTTATGTACAAATTTACGTACACGTTTACAAACTTCTTTACTCTATGAATAGATTTATACCAGCATCATATAGTGTGTACTATGAATGAATTTGTTTTCGTTGAAATGAAGTTTGGTTAGTTGTGGACACTCGGTTTCGCCGAAATGAATTACATTTAATTTTTGTAAAATATTTTTCCAAGCAATAAATAATAATTGAATTGAAGTTATGAAATAACAAAATTAAGCATATGCAGTTTTAATATTTTATTATCTGATGTTGTTGTAAGTAAAAAAATGGAAAATAGCTGCTGTTTGCTCTATGCATTCTAATTATTTGTATATAAATATACTTATGAAATATAGTATTTCTTTAATAATTAATTTTTTAATATGTTGTTTAATAAAAAAAAACGTTTTTTATACTTGCGAAATATAATTTACTACAACCATAACATTTTTCATAGAAATTTAATCAGAATAAGGTAAATTGAAGCTGAACGAATCATGTTGGAAAAAAGCTTATCCCATTTGGTTTTAAAATGGTTACAAACTGCACAACCACTATGAGAATAAATCCCTAGCACGTTTCTCAAAAACTAAATCAAAATCTCAACAGCATTCATACGAAATCCGTTCATAACCACGAGCATAGCAAATATAACTTTTTTTTGGATCTACTAACCGCCAGCGTTGGTTATACGAATTATTACGCCCTAATATACGTGTTAACTCTTACTTTTAACCTATTTGACCCATTGAAACAGATTTAATATCAATATATGTAGACAGTCAAGAGGAGAAGGAGGGAGTGGGGCGACAATTACTCCCGGGCAATGAGCTCTGTTATTGTTTTTGTTGTAGTGTCAGAATTCTGAATTATGAAAATTTGCGTTGTCGGCAAGACGAAATCGTTGTCAATTCAATGCCACTCGAAATTTGTAGGAGAGTCGCTTTGTTTAGAAAAAAGTTTCAACTTCATACGTTTATTATATGTTATATCTTTAGAAATGAATTTAAGTTATACAAATTTTATGTACATACTTATGTATGTACATATGTATGTACATATGTGAAAATGTATGGCTCACTTTTACAGAATATCTTATTATTTTTAATAAAGTATTCTGGTCTGATTTCAAGTAATGCTGAATGGTATTGGTAAAACTTGTACCGAAAACATTGTAACGGCATTTGTATGTTGTGTTGTGCTACATGTGCCTGTTACCAAGTCAACGAAAAGCCATAACTGAAACTTTGAAGTTCATATGCGCGTGTTGAATTCATCAAAATAACAAATGAAAATTCAGAGCACTCATATGTATGTAACTGTGGACCGCAATCCATTTCGCGGAAAATGTTTAGATAAATTGCGTCGAAAAGTGTATTTCAGCCAAAATTGTAATTTAATAATAAGAAATTTCAGAGATGGGAGATCTAGACATATCTGTGATAAAACTGACCCAGCAAACCTTAGGGAAATATTTGAAGAAACCACCCTTGACGGAGAAGTTGTTAACAAAGCCACCATTTCGCTTTCTGCACGATGTCTTTAATGCTGTAAGTTGATCGAGTTCTTGGAACCACATGCATATATATGCGTGTATGGCTGACCTAATTTAGTATATTTCTAGGTCATTAAAGAAACAGGTTGTTTTGAGGGTTTATACACAGCCGAGGAGCTAAATTCTGATAACATCAAGGATCGTGACGACAAGATGAAGTTTTTGCAGAAGATGATTGATGTTATAAGTAAGTAAAAAAAAGAAATTATAGTATACAATTTATATCTTATATAAAGAACTATAGAAGAAATGCTTAATATATGAATTGTTTCATTTCATTCAATTCATTGTCCACAGAAATTACCTCGAATAAAACTATTACTGTACGCACCTCAAAAATAGTGTCAGGTCAAGAACCGGAAAAGACCAATGAGCTACTCCAACTAATGGGGGAGGTGATAGAAAAGAAATTAGACTGGAAAAATGCTGTCGAAGAAGTTTTAAACAACAAAGGGACGACGAAAACAATAAATACGACAAAGCCAAAGCCTAATGTCAGACCTGTTGAAAAAAAGAGTAAAGATAAAATTCAAGAAAAGTTCAAAGATAAAGAAAGTAAACCAAAGGATTCCAAAACGAAGGATGCCAGAAAACTTTCTAAATCTACCACGCCTACGACCAAAACTGAAAAACTGGTCAAACGAACTCCAGAACCAGTACACAAATCTACGGAAGTTCGCGAGAAAAATAAGCACGGAAAAGTGATGAAGGAAGTGTCTAAGGATACAAAGGAGAATGCTGGAAAAAATACTGAGCAATCCAAGCCTCCGAAACACAAAACTGATACTAAAGCCAAAAGTTCGTCCCCGATAAAAGAAAAAGAACCTGAAAAGGAAACTGAAAATTTAACAAGCAAAGAACGTACGATGGCCCAGAATACCGATTCTACAGGATTTGGTCCGATAGTGATGGAGGGAGAAGAATTATCTCCTAATCAAATTAGTTCAAATGAAAACCAGCGACGTAACAGCAAGGTTATCGAACAAGAAGTATTGAAAGCATCCAAAAATGTATTGGATAATAATTCAACAATGAGTATGAGTACAGGGGTAATAGACGCATTCCTCGATGTTGGAAGCAGTAATTTAATGCTAGATATAAATACAGAGACTATGATTGGATCAAATGGCGGAGGAAGTCGTAAGTCTTCGGCAAAATCTAAAAGAACATCTGCAAATAGTCGGAGATCGAGCGCCAAGAAAGCATCACGTGACGAGCCCGAAGCTCAAATACCAGAAACGAAAGACGATAAGAAAAATGATAATGAAAATTCGGGAGCGAATATTTTTAAGACATTACTAGATGAAACTTTGCAAGCGAATGCATGGCAAAACCAGGAGGAAGAAGCTGTACAAATTTCAGTCACGCAATCGCAAACACCAAAAACGGTTCAAAAGAAAAGTCCTATTCAAACGCCAACTGCGGTGCCAACCCCAGCTCAATCCACGCCGGGCGAAGTGCGACGCGAGTCAACATTTACACGTGAAAACTCTCGCGATAGCAGTATCAACAACACAACTAATCGGCCACGGACTTCATTGCGTCCACCGAGTGCTCGACCAGCCTCAGCACGTCCCGGTGCGCCACGCCGACGTGATCGCAATATTGAGATTGTATTGCAGCCCAACGATCAAGTGAAATTATCCGGTACCAACGTAAAATTGGAATCTTTTGGAGATTTAGATGATGACGGTGAGAATTTAGTTGTCATTGAGGATGCCAATACGGTCAATATAGCAGAATCCGCGAAAGAAATGCCGCGTGTCGATGACACCGACATGGGAAGTAACATGGAACAACAGGGGCATCTAGTACAACAGATACTCGAGACGCAAAAGGAATTTATGCAGCAGCAAAATGTGAATGGTTCTGTCGGACGCAATGAAAAGGTAAAGTTCGATTGTTCATATAAAATCATACAGCAGAATTTGTTTTTCTTTTACAGGATATGGAATTATCCAACAATTCATCGGTACGACAAAGCTCGGCGCGCCAAATGAATAGTCTCCGCGACATCATACAAAATTTGACCAAGTCGGTGAACCCATTTGGCAAGTTAATGGATTTCATACCAGAGGACATCGATGCCATGCAATTGGAACTAACCATGTGGCGAGACACGTATACACAAGTGGCCAATGAGCTTAGACGCGAAAAAAGGTACAATTTTGGTTGCTTCTAGTTCCAATATATCTGTTAATACTACAAATATTGATAATGTGAATTACGTGTACAATTTTACGACCGATATGTTTTTCTGTTTGTAGCCTCACTGAGTCAGCCACGGAGCCGATGAAAGAACAGCTTGTGCAAATCGAAGCGAACATCAAGGAGTTTATGGAAATGATCGATGCGAGTCGCACGAAAATATTGCAAAATTCTGAGAAAATATTAAAAATGCTTGCACAACAATAGAAACACCGAAGATATATATGTACTATATGTTTAACGATTAAATAATAATATGTAATTTTATGTTGAAATTTGAGTTCAAGCAAATAAGTTTCAAGTTTAAATAACGACGTGAAATAAATTGTAGATTTTAAGAGCATTAAAACTGTCTAATAGTAATACAAATATTAAAGAAATCGTAAAACAGAAAAAAGTACTCGATCACTCTTTTGAATAGAGTTTGGGTTTTAACGTTTTATCAACCAACACTACTAAACAAGCACAAAAACAATTGGAGTATGCTTCTACGTTAGGGGGTTACATGGGTTTAGCGGTTTCAAAAAATCGATTTTTTTTTACTGTCTTATTAAATTCTACAAAACCTCTAGAATATTTTCCTAAATTTTCAAGTTGAGTCCGAGTAATAGTTTCGAAGATACAGCCTTGAGAACTTGTACGCTCGCGGCGTCTTTAAACGCACTGCTTTCAAAACTGTGTTTTGGAAGTCGGTTGGAACCACTCAATCGATCTTCATGAAATTATACACAGGGGTCTGAGATACAATTCTTAAAGATTACTTCTAAGTGAAAAACAAACAATGTGGCGAAATTTTCATTTTTTGGTGAAAACGCCAAACATCCAATTTTCCTTTTTTTTCCTTCGTCGAAGTTCTAAGATAAGGTTTTAACTAAAACACGCATTTTTCACATTAGATGATCCTGTAAAGGGTTATACTGCCAACGAGGGCGCCGCCTTTTTCGAGAGGTCACCGGAAATGACGTCGCAATGACCTAGTAAACTGTTATATATTACACATTTTTATTTTTTCAAAAATTTCAGAATTTCTTTGTTAATAGTTTATGTTTGTAACAATAATAACTTCTAAAAAAATATTTAATTTTTTATATAATTATATAAAACAGTAATATTTTAACAAACCTTGGCCAGTCGTCTAAATAAATAATTTTTTCATGTTATTTTATTTATGTTTATTATTATGCAGGCATTGCATCTTACTTTGTTAGTATATTTCCATAAGCTGCGCTAGTAATAATAGCGAGTTGTTAAATCTGTTTTCTATCTACAAACATGAATTTCAAATAATTTTACACAATCAAGGTACAAGTCAAGGAACCATGCAAGCCATATCGTGTAACAAAAGAAGGTCCTAAAGCATTATAAACATTTTAACTTAACCTCAAATAGAGATCATACAAACGGATGATAGTAGAACAATACAAGTAAATAAAGTACATATGTACACACATACATATATACATATGTACATATGTAATCTTAGTTTATGTATTTTTTAATAAACCTGATTTTTTATTTTTTCGCGCTCTAATTCTTAAAAAATATGACAATTCCCATCCAAACACTATTTTTTCCATATAATGAATTATGTTCACAGTTGAACTATAAATTTTTTCTAAAAGTATGCTTCATGCTAATTAAAAATTTTGCATTTTTTTTTTAGACGTCGAAGGATTTAAGGTACATTTGTAGATTTCACATTATTCAAAATTATAACCTCAAAGTTACGTATCTCGACTATAACAAAGCAAAATAAAGTAATTTTTATAGTTTTAAAATAAATTTTCTCGATGAGCGTCAAACAGAAATTAAAAATGGGCAAACGAATTTTGATCAGACTAAATAAGAAAATGTGATACTATGAACTACGATTTTGATGCCTGTAACTAAAAAATATATTTTAAATTCACTGAAAATAAAAAAATATTTTTCAAAAATGTGCACCTTAACAAAAAGTATAGTATATACAACAAATGCAAAAACACACGTACTGGTACAATACGCCCAATTAAGTACACAACTTATTTTGAATGTATGTTATGCTGTAGTCCATGTCAACCACTAACACCCATGTTTACGAAAATTAATTGTTTTTACAACGGTTACCATTTTAAAATATACATATACCGCAATCAGAGATCATTTTCATTCAACAGTCTAATCATATTCCGGTTACTGAACCATTTGAAGACTTTGAAAATTTTGTATTGGAACACTTTGTTTAGCAAAATAAAATAAAATACCATTAAGTAATTGTTTTCGAAAAAAATTTCATATTATTATAATACTCATACGCTCAGTATTATAACTGATCAGAAAAAATGAATAGAAAAACGTCAAAGCTCCAATCGAAATTAAAGCCGTAAGATTTATAAACAATAATATATGTGTATATGTTTACCAAATATAATTATAACTACCAAATACGAAATGAAAATATGTAATTCATAAATATTTTATATACATAATATGTCAGTAGATCAGTAGATTGCACGCACAAACACATTTTTACATATATAATATTCATACTTTAACAGTTCAACTTATTTAATATATGTAGCGTTAACTCTTCAAATCTTCACGCAGTACAAATGTTTACACCCTAGTAAAATTAAAATTTTATATTATTTATGTATATATTTACTATTTATCATAATTTCACAGAGTTTCTGTTTAACTGCCCGTGGCTGTGTTGGCATTCAAGTGCATTAAGTAACATCAGTTGTGTGTATGTATATATGTGTGTGTGTGTAAATGCGAAAACATTTGATTTTTCATTCACATTTGTATTAAAATAAGAACGGAGTTTATAGTGCATAAATAGTTTAAAATTGTCAGCAAACTATTTTAAATTTTTACATTTTGCACATTGGCCTATACTTGAGGCTGTTTTATGTCATTTTTGTTAAATAATATACTATTTTCAACATAATTTCCAACTTTCAAACAAATTTCCATCCTACATTTGTATGTGTACATAGTATAAAATATTTGCGTTTTACTCTTAGTAAGAAGGATACATTTCTATGTTAATTTTTGCCGCCATAATTACTCACGATAGCTACATATATAATATAGTATATTTTAAATTTCATTAAAACTAATATTAAAATTTCTATAATGGGCATTCAGTGGATCGCAGAGATGTGATGAGTTTCTTGTGTGTGTGCTACAATTCGAAGAATTCATCCTGCTGTTTTTCTAGTCGCTTCAGTGACTTCTGCACGTGTCGTGTTTGCGTGGTATTCAATAGCTGCGCTGTGTCCGATGTGCTGCCTGAAGAACTGTGCCGTTGGTGATTTGATTGATTTTGCCGATTCGTTTTGTAAGAATTATTCAAGTGATTGTTACGCCTGTGCTGTACAAAATCGGTGGTAACAAACAGATCGTTGTCACTCTGGCTAGTAATCATTCTATAATTAAATATTAATATATTCGCTCAGATATTTGTATTTGGTTTGTATTAAAATACTATAACATAAATATATATTATTATTATAAAATATTTTATTACTACTACTTGGTACGACAACTTTAGGCAATTACATCAATTACAGTTTACTATAGCATACTTTTAGGAACATATCCCACTAGATACCAGTTTTAATAATAATAAAATAAAATATTGCACAACTTACTCTTTGGATTTCTCAACATATTTTCTCGACTCCGAGATAGTTGAATCGATTTTGCTCAAAAACTCGTTTATGGATTTACGATTTTCCTCCTCCGGCGTCATAGCCACCACAGAGTCAAGCGATTTGCTCTGCTTATTACTGCTGCTGCTGTGATTGTTTAGCGTTACATCATCGTCGCTGTTTTGCACTAATAATTCACCGGCGATTGAGTATGGACGAGTTGGGAGCGTGGATGGACGTGGATTATTTGCTGAGTCAAGACAACTGATTGGTGCTGCGAATACTCCAAGTGGATCAACCGTTGGGTTACTCGTATTTCTTGCATGTACAGAATTTACAATATTTTGCGAATTTATATTATTTTGCAACACAGTGTTGTTGGAACTAATTTCTAATGGATTATTTTCAACCGCTTTTGGATAATACGGCGACGATTTATCCACTGGAATTAGCAAAAACTGACGCAAGAATAGACTGTCTGAGGCGAAGAGCCGATTAGCGCGTCGTATCTGTTCCGTCTGTCAATAGAAAAATTTAAAACGATTGATTGTTTAGCATTTTAAAAAATCATATTAATTATAAAATAGATTTAAAATATTTAATAGTCTTTAATAACTTAATTTATAAGAAGCAAAAAAGTGCAATGATTGATTGGAGTAATTTAATACGATCGCACCTAAGGAGTAATCAGTAGGTACACATTTTTTTTTTTTAATTTTTTTTTTTTAATAAAAAGGTATACGACATCGAAGACGATGATTGATGACTGAATAGCGTTCGTTGTATTTGAACATGTTATAAATTTTGAAAACACACATTTTTTTCTTTATTTAAAAAAGTTTAATATTAAAAGTTAAATGACAACAAAAAAGTTCTTTAAAATAATTGCAGTAATTGAAGTTCTCAATAAAATTAATAACATTATAACTTAGGTCATTAAGTTAGAACAAAACAAAATACAGTTGCATAAATCAGAATAATTTTGCTGGTTACAGTTACAAATATGAAAACTATCATTTACATAATATGTATGTAAGTGTCTTACCTATGTGTGTTAAAATATGATAAGAAATCACTTTATCTACATAGTATTAAAACAGTCATGTTACACTGCTTGTGAAAGCACTTGAAAAGATTTACGTAATGTTTAATTAAAAGAGAAATTACTACAAATATAATATATATAAGTATCTTATCTAACTATGTTATCTCGGTATTTAAGCAAGGATTTATTCTATATATAAACTATTTACGTATGCTTTTTATAAATTGCCTAAATTTTAGTTTGCTTAAAAAATATTAAATCGCAGAATGCAAGATGCATTCCAATTTGGTTATATGAATCAATATTTATCATTTTTTTATAATATAGCGTTTATGCTTATTTTCGTGGTTTGCTTACTGATTCTTAAAATAAGTAATTCACGAGAATTACCCAATGACCAAATAAAAGATTGGCCACAACTGGATTTCCAACTTGTTTAAAAATAAATTTGAAACAGTATATAGACACATATACATGTGCTTTCTGGTTTGCTAGAAGGTTGTGATAGCCGAATTATTTTTTTTAATCACCAATTTCAATACAATCGCGTATAACTCACTTAGGGGCCAAATAATGTTTAATCGATAACCAATATATTTGAAAATATATGTATGTATGATTTATGCAATAAAATGAAATGCAGACCTCACATAAAAATACTACTAACTTTGTAAAAAGTATAGATATAAAACATACCGAACATCCATATCTTAGCGCAATGCCCTGGAGTGTATCTGTCTTCTCCACGTCATGTCGTATCAGCGTCTCGTTGTTCCTTATGTTATGATTATAGCAGGTGCTACCATATTTTTTGAGTGAACGCGCCGATTCGCGAATGGATTGCTTCTCGTTAAACATCATGTAATCGGCATCATCCATATCGGGTACGATCTCATGGAACTGAAAGGCCATAAAAGGGATTATTACAAGTTATAAAAGAAAGCATTATTACATTAGGATTATGTTATTGTTATGATATTTTATATACATATTTTATTAAAGAATGTGGAGAGTAGAGAGTGGACATATGAAAATATATTTCAAGAAATGTACACAGTCATTCAGTCTTTCTTATGTTAATATGTCCTCTTACAGGATACAATGTTTACCATCCATGCAGAACCAAAGATTGTATGTGACGTCATTTGCATTGCCATTAAGTTTAACATCTGGTCTATAACCTCGTCAGACATACCATGGCCAAAAGCAAACTTTTCGATATTGCACATAAATGAAAACAACGCAGGTACTAGCAAATTTTATAATTCCAGCATTCAATATGCTTATCAGTGCAAAGACTCTTGGAAATGCAATCACATGAAATTGATTTACTTTTAAATTATCTGCATTAAGGAAATCTACTCAAACTAAACGTAAGATTCCCAATTTAATACACTTACTTTATAATGGTTGTTTCACGATGTGTTAAAATGTACGTCTGCATATTAGCAGGAGTTATTAAGCTTTTCAACGTATTAATCACCCCACCTCCTACCTTCTATTTGTAAGTTCCTAAATTGTTCGAGGTTCAGCGCTGAAGTTGTTTCACTTTACTATGTATCGATCACTGCTGCATTAGCAATCATAAAATCAACCAAGCGTTTAAATTAATTTTCCATTTTTTGTTAAAAAATATGGTGTGTGTAGAAATCAAAAAAACCACAATTTATTGCAAACGTGTGAGCTTATTTTTTATTGTGCAAACTTTCAACGACGAGTGAACTTGTTGTGAAGTGGCGAAGTAGCTAAGTAATAAAATTAAAGCTGATAAATGAGATAAAGTTATACGAAGTTATATGGCAATAATTTTGTTAGCCACTTTGAAATACGTACAAATAAAGCACACACAGCTGATTTTCCCTTCACCTGAGAAAGTCAAATCAATGAATACCTATACAAATAACGAAAGCTTTTAGCTTTCTAAGCTGGAAATGCTTTACCACTACCTAATTTAAAAAATTATGGAAAAATTAAAAAAAAAATCCGAATTAAAATTTATTATTGTTGAAAGTACTATAATATGGAAACAATAAATTCTATTTCAATCTCTAAACATAAACATTTTACAGCCTCTGCTGCATCCCTGTGTGTTGACTTGCCAACAGCTATTTTTATTCTTCTAAAGTTGGTGAAATACAACAGATGTGAAAATGGTAACTGCTTAAGTCTAATTGGAATACTGATATATGCTTACAGCGAAAATATGTGTGTAATAATTAATAGAATTCTATTTTTGTGCATCTAATTATTATATAAATTAAAGAAGCATAATTGAATAATTCACACTATTAACTAACATACTAAAGAAAAATCCAAAGAGCTCCGTCGGTACTTATCGCGTTGCCAACTGCTAGTCATCTAACTCAAGTAATTTCTGATTTGATGGTTGGTTAGGGTTGCCGTACATACTTTAGAGAAAATAGTACTACATAACATATAATACGAAATTAGATGTACTACTATTGTGCCTGATAAACTATTTGTTAATAAACAATACATTCATCTACTTTATTAATTATAATATTTAAATTTTAAAATCCTACAATTTACTATTAATTATCTATATGAGTTAGATTTTAACCGGTAAATACGTTTGATAACAAACTGAAATTGTACCGTTATATACATATGTACGGACATATGCATGCTTTTATATTCAAACAAAACAAACTAAAGTTCATTCGCCACAGGAAACCATTTGATATACCATGTGAACTTTTGCAATAAGAACTCAGAACCAAAAATCAATTTATAATTATGTCTCATATCTACTTATTTACGGTATATTCAATGCGTCGAAAGTATACCAGTTAAAAGTTAAATAATAAACAGAAAAATAAATGTACATACCTATACATACATATGTATGTACATACGCATAGCTATGAAAATATAAGTGCTACGCAAATGCATAGTTTAAAGAGTAAAGAATCTTGTAGCAGCTTAAAAAAAAACTGGAATCTATAATCATTCTTTGGGAGAAGAGTGATTTAATATCGCAATTAGTTAACTTCCTTGTCACTCCGATTTTCTAAATTTTAAAGGCAATAGATAATTATACGTAAGCAAATATGAATGTATGTACGTATGGACATGCAGATGTTTATATTAACGTTATCGGTGTTTGCATTAAAATTAATATTTACCGAGCGTTTTTCTAAGATCATTTGTTTTAGTAGCGAAACAATAAAAGAAGTAAACTACAAAACAGAACATAAAATATACTGTGTAGCAAAGGGGTCGAGAGGATTGTTCATTTAAAGAAGTCCACGTGATGGCGATGACGAGCGAAGATCACTAAAAAAATTACCAAGCACCTTAATGATTTTTCAAATTAATAACAAAAAAAATTTGCTCAGAATACTACATATGTATGTACATGCATACATATGCGAAAGTGCGGCTGTAGGTACATATGTACTATGTGTGTACACACTTGTACACTTATGAAGATTTTGTCTAGTTATTTTGTTGTTGTGGTTGCTGGAGGCGAAATTCTCGATAATTAATTATTAAACAATTTTGTGTGGTTTAAAAGCATTTGATTGTTGTAAATTACTTTTCCAATCGAAATAATTGTCATCATGCGATTCACGACGTCTCGACGTTGTCGAATTGCCCATGTCTGCTACTTTAATACATACATATATGTATTTAAGTTAATGCAGAGTTGGAGAGATATGTATATCGATACTTGTACGATTTCTACTACGAACGCGGTAAAATCAATTTGAATTTCTACTTTTTTTTGCTATTAATTTGTATTGTTTCATTACCGCTGGTTCATATAAACTTACTATATCTGCATGTAATATTGTATTTGCAATCACTCATCGCGGCCATATTCCAGTAAATATTTATATTTAGATAAAAAAAAAAAAGAATACATCAAAATGCATTGAATTGTTTACATTCAGAAAGATATCAAGTTCATTAATTACTTAACTTCCTTAACAAAAGTTATTATGCGAACGATATATCAAGATATAAAGATTTGTAAATGACAATGTGTACTTTGAATAATGACAAAACGGCGAAATATGTCTCAATTATAGCTGAAAATGCGCCGTCGCCAGCGCTTGAATGGTATGCACTGACAAGTGTTGGTGCTAAAAAGCTTTATGGCTAAGACTTACCACTTGAAACTTGGCACTTAAATGTAGACCTATTTATATATAATATGTACATGTGTATGTAACTATAACTATTCGACACTTCCTTTTTCTATAGTTTATCTTTGATAAAAATCGTCATAACAATTCGAAACAAACTGATGTAATCGCACGGATCTCATTTAATAATTTTCGCAATGTTTAACTTTTTACATACTAAATTTAACATTCACCTGATCGAAGCGGTGGTACGATAATAAGAATTTGGTCAGAGTAAGGCATATTTCATTTAATATTTTATAATATCGGAATCGGAGATTTGGGTGCGAGGTTGTCAATGCAACTTTGTTAGAGTCTGATTTTCGTAAAAAATGTATTCATCCTAACTTGTCTGCTATTCGGAAAAAATGTTTATACTATTTCCAATAAGATATTAAACCCAAAAATTCTTATCTACTATTCGGTAAGTTTTTAATTAACATAGTAGCTTTCCTTAATTTACCCTGATACTCTATAAATAGTTGCCTTCACGAGCTAAGTGGATTTTGCCACGTCCGTGTGTCTGTTTATACACGAACTAGCTCCTCAGGTTTTGAGGCATCGATCTGACGTTCTCAAGCCGCGCCCTTTTCTGCCTACTAAGCTGCTTATTTGGCGAAACCAATATTGTGCTGCTAAAGCATATAGTGCATAGCTGGCATACAAGCTGAACGATCAAAATGATGTCTTTGTATGGAAAACTGTTTTATTTTATGAGATATCTTTACAAAATTTGGGACGAATTAATGTTCAAAGCAACGATACAATCTCCGAAGAAATTGTTCAGATCGGAAGACTATGGCATATACATAGTTGTCATACAAACTGAACAATTCAAACCAAGTTCTTCCTTGGCAAACTTTTTGACACGATTTTGGCAAAAAAAGAAGGTAATTCGTAGACGCAACTCATGGTTTTAGTCACATTGCTATGCCTTAATCATTAGAGGTATCAACAATACCACAAACAACAGCCTCCGCTGCAATTGCGGTACAATTCTGGAGAGAGTGTGGGTGTAGGTGTATAAATAGTCCAATACGTTGTTTAAGTGAACATATATAACATATAGAAATATATACATATATGTACATATGTGTAAAAAGCCAATCTTTGTTTATTTGTACAACAATCAAATTTACTTGTTTATATGTGAATTTTGTTTCTGTTACTGCTGCGAAATTATGGCAATAAAAATGGGGAAATAATCAAATTTACTTAATAAAACGGATAAGTTCTCATATAAGAGTGTCCTTTAACTCATTATGGCAATTTACTTCAGCATATGCATAATTGAGTATTGCACTCAATGCAGCCGAGTGAAATACAACTTTTATGTACATATGTACATATGTATGTGTTACATGCATACATATGCAAATTACCAAAGAATTACAGTATTAATATAGATTATGAACTTTATAATTGTAATGAGTGGTGCTGGTGTGTTTATATAATAATATGCTACTTTATTTCAAAGCACTCAAAAGCTTTAGAACAAACATACGCCTTGATGGCATTATCATTTGGCGTGAATCATAAATTGGTAGTATCTTTGTAATACTTTGTGTGAATGTGTATGTATGAGCTTATGTATGCGTACATTAGTGTATAGAGTCTAATAAAACCCGTTCGGTATCAATAGGTACAATAGTTAATACCTTTGTTTTACAGTGATACCGCGCCAAGAGATAGTAAATGGACAGATTGGCTTATATACGTATGTACATACTTATGTATATAGAAACGTTG